AGGAACAGTAGCCAATCAGTTGTTTTAATTGCCATATTTGAATTCAGCACATCAAAATACATAATAAATAGCACATTTTATCTCTGAAGCAGACGACTTCTCAAAAATTGTAGACCAGTGATATCTGCCAGCGATGCCAATAGAGAATTCACCTGATCATAATTATAGTAGCCTGAGAGCTAGCAGGATAGGCTTTCTAGGGCAGAAAGTTCAGCTCATTCATCGAGCAAAGCACTGCTTGTCACTTTAATCCTGACTCACCTGGATGAAATCCATCACCCCTGTCACACTCAGCACACAGTAAAGTGGCTTAGAGATCTTGAAACATTTGCTGACCTGGCTGAAACTGCTGAACTTGCGTCTGTTTCTTCTCATGGGATTATTTTGCTCCATGTTGCCTTTCAATGTAATGTTGTTTTAGAAAGTGTCAGGATTGCTAAGGTTCATTGCAGCAATATCTATAGCTGCAATGTATGTGAGGATGTGATTAGTAGCAGTAAGTACTTGCAATGCCTCCTGGAAATTCTAACACTATATATTTCCATATGCAGTTTTCCTGATAAACTATAGCTTAACAATAGTGAACTGTTAACAAGTCCCAACTCTGCAATGACTTGGTTTTTTTCTTTTCCCCTAGGGAGGACAGTGCTATATACCTGTCAGGACTGGGTACCATGGGATTGGAGATATATGAACAAGTGCCAAAGCTGGATGCAGTGATTTTTCCAGCAGGAGGCCACTGTGGATTGCTAGCAGGATCAGCTGCTGCCCTCAAACATCTCAACCCACACATTGCTGTGATTGTAAGTTGTTTTCACCTTTCAACTGTGTATTTTGAGAGATTTATCCTCCTATCTCACAGGCTTCAGAAAGGTTCTGTATTCTACTAAAGTACTGGGAATGAGTCTGTGTACACTATAGACCGAAGTTATTGGTTCCCATGGTCATCCTCCATGAGAACGCTATTTTAGAATTTGGGCAGCCTGCTTTGTTTCTTGGTTAATTGTTTGGGTTTTTGTTAACTATGTAGGAACCTTTTTTTAAAGCAAATAAGACCAAACTCTTCACATCTAAAGTTTTAACTGACCTGTTTTGGGGCTGTTTAATGGATTTAAGAGTGTTTATTTAGCTTGTTTGAAACCTGTGTGATCTTATTAAAAGTCTTTAGTTGCCTCCAAGTTTTAGGACACTGTAGAATTCTTATTTGAAAGACCTTCAACTAGATATCCCCAAAATAGTATGGAGATTACTTAATCTTTACTCCTGGAAGAAGCAACCTATTCAGGTTAAAACTGAGGTCTCTTTGGATTGTTGTGAAAATTTGTCCATAAAATAAAACATTCATCCCAAATTATACACAGAATAACCCCTTCTGGATCTTGGTGTAGAAATTTCAGCTAGCAGCTGTTGAAATTGTAAGTGGTGGGATACAACAGACAACATATTTCTGGATGATGCAAGGTTGCATGACGTTGCAGGTTGAATGACTTTAGCCACTCACAAATGTATAATAGCTATAAAAAATTACTACCTGGACAGTTCTTAAAGATGGGCACCAAACTAAACCTTAAATGCAAACACCTCTGAATTTTAAGAAATTGGAATCAAGAGCCAAATTTTTAGGCTCTAGTCCATCTCTGCATATTGGTGGTGGTGGTGATTATTCATTATAAATTAGATTTATATATTAAAAACATGGGGATAAGACCTGAGGTCTTTGGTCATTTTTTACTCAATCTTGGGAGTTTACCTGAATAGAGAACTCTGAACTTGGCCCAAGGGAAAAACAAACCTATACTGAATATAATGGAAACTGGTATGAATCATTGACAAGACCGAAATCTCCAGAGGACGATAGTACTCAAGGCTGGAAATGTGTATGATAATATTGATGCTATTCCATTATTCCCCACCCTGGGCAAAAGGCTTGGGCACTACTTAAGACCTATTTTGAGGACTTAAGTGGCACATGGGCCTTGTGCTCTCCCTGTGCATCAGGGTGAATTTCACCCTGTTTTTGTATGTGTCTTATTTTTTCCTCATTTTGATGTAAAGTCTGCAGAAAATGAGGTGATGCCTGTTGTTTAAGATAGCTGGTGCCAGTGTGTTTTCTTCTTAGGGAGGGATGTAGTAGTCCAATGACTTAATTGTCCTTTCTTTCTACGACACAAAGAAACTGTTGGATTAAACATACATTTTTATTTATTTATTGCTTGCTCCCTTTACAATAGAACTTGATGTTATTTAAAAGGAATCTTTTATGACCACGTGACAAGTCAAAAGGAACAATTCAGACTCCTTTTATGAGCTTATTCTCTCATGCCAAAAGTGATGAGAGATTTAATTTGATCTATTTGGAAGAGTTTAGTGACGAGAAATTGTAGAGGGACCACTGTCAAGGTAAAATCATAAATTAAAATCAACACACCACTTTATCCAGTTAAAATAATGCCCTAGACTATTGAAAGGTTTTTTATAATATAAACAAATGGCGAATATTCAACTAAAAGCAAAATTATAACTCGTCTGTCATCTTGTGTCAGTAGGATTAGATTAGTCAATTTCATTTTGTTTTGTACCAGTACAATGCTGCTGTGTTTTGGGTCCCCATGTAGGGAAATGGTTTTGATCCTTTTGAAATTCATGCAAACATTTCTGTTCACTTTTACTTTTAACCTATTCCCATCCCTTTAGGTTTTACTTTAAAAAAAAAAAAAAAAAAAAAAAAAAAAAAAATTGGGCCTTTACCAAACAGACAGTATATCTTTAGTACGAGGGAACAGCTAAAATTTAATTGGCAAAAGGGGTTCATAATGGTTGCTAATCATGATGACAAACTTTGCCCACACTTTTTACAGAATTTGTTTCCTTGGTGTTGGTGGTTCCCGTTGTAACTTGATCTACATAGTAGTTAAAGATGATTGTTTTCCTTCTTTCCCAGGGTGTTGAATCGGAGAGTTTCCCTGTTTTACAACAATCATTAAAGATAGGCCATCCTATTGAAGACCAGGCCTGTAGCAACCATCAGTTTTATGGAGGTAAAAGTATGAAATCAGACAATAAATGTTGTTATGGATTTCTACAATCTGTGAATCTTCTTTTCCAGTTGATCCACATCAAGTCTAACTGAAGTGAAGTGTTTCATGGGAATTGTCATGGTTTAATAAATGCTGCTAATAGCAACCCACGGAGCTGGACTTCACAACATGGATGCAATAATAAGACTTCCAGATCCCGCATTTTGATGCACAAATGAACACTTAGGGACATAAATGTATTTATTTAGGGCCACATTTTGCCAGTTGTATCACAACTAGTAATACCTTATTCCACTGAAATCAATGGGATAGCTTGCAAAGTAAGACATTAATCTATGGTTACCATACGTCCGGATTTTCCCGGACATGTCCGG